GAACTTATCAAGATAGTTGAAGAAGGCAATTTGTGAGGCCACAAATTGTCTTCTTCAGTCAGTTTGAATCTTGTAAGCTGACATAGATTTATAGTACTCTTGCTTTTTTTGTAGAACATTGGCAATGTTGGGAACCTTTTCAAATTTAGAGATTCTTTACTTTTATGTTCTTTACTTTCTCAAACTAGTTCTTAAGGATGAAAAAGATAATTGATGCTTTTGCCAACCACGTCAACATCGACGACCTCGGAATGATATTTCTTAAACCTCTTCCTGAACTCATCAAGAATAATGAAGAAAACAATTGATGCCTAACCAACCACAATAACATTCTTGGCCTTGTGGATGTCTTCCTTGAACAACTTTTTAAGTCATCAACTTAGATGAAAAAGTCAATTTGTAGATTCTTCGGTTGCTTTGGATATTGTAAGCTCACATATACTTACTGTACTTGTGAAGTAGAGAGTGAAGTGTCATTTACTTCTAGTGTTGTGAGCGGAAATTGCCAAGACATTTCTCGCCTTTGACGCTTACTTCATAGAGGCAAAAAAATCTCCCTATTGATTCAAAAGTGCTTATGCATCTTTGGACTCATGGAAAGAGACATGTAATGCTCAGGCAGAGGTGCGTAAGGGAATATTTATTTTTTATGCTTGTATGACCTCCCTACAAACCGTATGTTCAAGATTTTTTTGCATACGGCTCTTCAAGGGTATGTTATTCAACAACAGTTGGCCGGCGCGATGCCACTCATTCTGCTAATTATAGTAGTAAAAATGATTCATAGGTGCAAGATAAAATTCTTAATCATGCTGATAAACCAATTCTGTTGAGCCTTTGCAATGTGAAAGCCTTCTTAAATTGAAACTCTTCGGTTGTTTTGGATCTTGTAAACTCAACTAGATTTCTTTTATTTTAGCTTCTTCTTTTGACCTTGGCAATGTAGGGTGACTTCTAAAAAAAAAAGATGTCAATCCATTTTTCTTCTTCAAATTTCTAGCTTCTTTTGTTGACCCTTGGCAATTTAGGTTGCCTTCTCAATTTCAGAGATGTCTATCCATTTCTCTTCTTCAGTTTTCTAGCTTCTTCTATTGACCCTTGGCAATGTAGGATGCATTCTTAAATTCAGATATATCTTTTAATTTGTCTTCTTCGGTTTGTCAACCAAGATGACATTCATGGTCTTAGGATTATATTCTGTAAACAAATAATTGAACTTATCAAGAAATATGAAGAAATCACTTGCTGGTCTTGTCAATGACTATACTCTTGGCATTTGAATGATCTTCCTTAAATTACTTCTTAAACTCATCAAGAAAGATGAAGAAGGACGTGAGTGAACTCCTAAATTGGTTTGGATCTTGCAAGGTATCATAACTTATCATACACTTGCTTTCGTTGTTGAGACTTGGCAATATAGTAATACTTTTCACATTCAAATTTGTATTTTCAATTTTACTCCTTCAGTTTTGACAATCTCCGCTACGCCCATGATCTGTGATTGATCTTCCTTATACTACTTCTTGAACTCATCAAGAAAAATGAAGAAGTCAATTAATGACTTTGTTAAAAACCATTGATTGTCAAACACTACAACATACTTGGATTGATATTGACATATTGAAATACCACAAATGATATTACTTAAAAAAACTTTCTAACCTCATGAAGAAAGATGAAGAAGAAAGTTAGTGGCCTAAACTTTCCAGGGATCACGAACTCTACCCGTTACTTAAAAGAACTTTCTAACCTCATGAAGAAAGTTGGTGGCCTAAACGTTCCGTTTGTATCTTGTAAATTGATCTAGAATTATCTTATTCTTGTTTCTACTGTCGATACTTAGCAATGTACCGAGTCTTTTCAAATTTAGACATGTCTTTCGACCCAAAGCAGTTCGAATTACATTGCTTCCAGGGTTTAAACTTTCAATTTCAGGACTCAGCTTTAGAGCTCTACTTATAAACATGTTGTAGCTTTTCTTCCACTGGATTACCGGTTCAGTCGGTAATTTCATCCGATTGAATCTTAGTTTGAGATTCACATTGGCAGTATTAGAAGTTCACGAACTCTACCCGTTTCAATCGTCGGTTGACCTTCAGTTTAGGAGAATTGGAGCTCACCATCGGTGGGAAGGTGAGCAAAAAACTGTGCAGGGTCTGTACTTGCCACTTCTCTTGATAATGGCAGTCTCATTCATCTGCGCTTCATCTTATGCATCAAGGATTCGTGAACTGAACAGAACCATATGCAGGTATCCACTGCAATACGAACAGGTGTACAATGTTGTGTGCATTGAGTGATGAGAGGGGTCAAAGGAGCAAATTTTTATGATCCGCACGACTCGGAGGAAATGAAAATCCTCCTATATTCCTAAATTAACATGTGGAGGTTTTCAGATGAAACAGCACTTATCGTTCCTGAGTCAATTGACTCGTTCAAGACGAAACGGATGGGAGAAAAGATCTGACTACCAAATTACTATAGCGTGAGCTTGATCGTAACAAATATTCAGTTGGAACAGCTGTATTAGTTGGTATAATCTCAACATTGGACAACAACAAGAACAGATTTAGACATAATCAAAATCCTGAATTGGAATCCACCAGAGTATTGAAAGTAGATACAATGAACTATGGAGTAGATAATTGTTGCGGTTAACTCCTTTATATTTGGGGTAACCGTCTATATTGAGTCGGTTGAAGTGGGTTAGAAGAGTAGTACTTATATCCCTCATCTGTAACCTGCATCTTTTTATCAGCGTCATTTTCCTTTTGACTGTGTACTTAGCCCAGAAGAAGGATGAACCACGTACTTTGTTTATTCTCTATTTGCTCGAGTGTGAATAATAGTTTTTCTTGTTTGTTACTGCCACTAGTCTTATTTCTCGTCAGAAATTTTATTTGGGATCTGATAGATCTGAACCCTTTAGGAACGGTTTGAAAGAACGAAAATCAGATTCATACGACTCGATTTCGTTTCATGCACTGTGTTCAATGTAATCCATAACATGCGCATTATCTTCTTACGCTGAGTGATGGCTACTGCTCCCAGTTTCAGGGGGCGACGGTGAAATCTAGCCCGGCTCTGACGTCTTGCTTTTCAAATTCCGCTTTCTGAAGCATGGTAGCGGTAGTGGACTCCACCCATAGACCTCAGCGATGGTAGCCAGGGAAAACTACAACAGTGCTGAGTCCGGAGGACAGCATCATAAATTAGAAGCACTTTTCCTTGACAAAGAGGACTCATCCTCATAGATGCCCAATAATGGCTATTACAATCAGATCCATAATCATTACGGCTCACGAAGGGCTTGAAACGTCAATGCACCGAACGACCAAATGAGTCGATGTTTTCCATCGTCGAGAGACTCGAGGCCTGACTAAACGGTACACAATTGGAAGGCCGATCGATTCGTGGGATCAGATCTTGCCACAAGACAAGCGCGGAGAATTGGAGTAGGATGTCTACGTGTGGCCCGCATCAGATCAGATCAGGCTGAGCCCTGCAGAAATTCAACGAGGTGTTGACACTGATTTGGTCACGAATGCGGTTGAAAATGATAAAGATAAATGTCCAGGCCTTGGATGAAACAGGAAGGAACCGAGTTTTGACAGTACAAATGTATGCAGGAACAGTGGATGAACCTTACACTGGCCAGATCTAGCGGCCAGCCACTTGCAAGAGGACCGACCATCGCAAGGACCAAGGACCGAGATGGAGATCGATGCCGACATCTCCTTCTTTAAAACATCTCATCTTCACAGTGGATATTCGCTCAGCATCTTCCTGCACTCCTGAAGTTGTGGTTGGCTCCACCGTTGAAATGTTCGCCCACAGCATCCTTTTTATCCCGGCCTGCCGATGCTGAATCAGAACTATGGAACTGTGTTTATAGAACGTATGTTTAATACAGCGTATAATACAGGATCATGAATACAACTATGCGCATCAGGTTACAAGACGCGGGAGGGTCGAATCAACAGCCCCTTCCGTTCGATGGTCGAAGAAGAGGAGATCCGGATTTAGGAGGCGAACGATAAATAGGATGGTGATGAAGAAGATGCTCTAGAGACCGATTGGGACGACCACCTCCATGAATTCAACGAGGTTGATAGGTCGGATCGCCTGAATCGTTTTGATGACCAAATGTTGTTTGATACCGACCAGATTTTGGACTAGGGTCTCGTGATGCCTCCAGCAGTAAATTCAGCTCACATTTGTTCATTGTATTGAACAAAACGTATTATACAACCCAAAAATCATAAAACACAGTTTTATAATCACAACATGCCCTTTCGGTCTCGATCGATCGAGGTAAGATGTTTGCTCGACATCCATGAAACCGCATCAAATGTCCAAGGCTCCCCACCCTGGTCAAACGCTTTCATCAGCCTTGTCGCTCTCTCTCCCTCGCTCCAGAACGTATATAAACAAGTCCCCAACTTGTAGACGTATCAACATCCTCACCTTCAGCGCAAAATCGTGTTACAGACTCAGCAGCTCTCAACACTCGTGCTTCGGTGAGTTCCATAAAATACTCAAAGGTCCAAGGCTCCCCACCCTGGTCAAACGCTTTCATCAGCCTGGTCGCTCTCTCTCCCTCGCTCCAGAACGTATATAAACAAGTCCCCAACTTGTAGATGTATCAACATCCTCACCTTCAGCGCAAAATCGTGTTTCAGACTCAGCAGCTCTCAACACTCGTGCTTCGGTGAGTTCCATAAAATACTCAAATTTGGCTCGTTTTCCTCGAAAACTTCGATGATCTTATTTTCTCTTTGCATTCGAGAGTTCAGATAATTTGTGCATGTTGTTGCAAGTGATTGAGTGAGTATCCTTCTATTTGAAGTTAGTCACGCTCAGTCGTAGGGCTCTTCGTGTGAATGTCACTGGCACCCATCATGACATTGAATGAACGGACGATGTGTTCATAACCAGCTGCTCGAAATATTTTGCAGTGAACTCAATTGACGATTGAACTCAATTCAGCTGCTGGCCCGATGGCCACCACGCTCACGAAGCTCGCGCTGGCTCTGACGCTGGTGCACGCAGTGTGTGCGAGCAGGCAGATTCTGCAAACAGCAGGCTGCGCAGGCGTGTCGCAGTATATTATAGCGCCTTCGTACGTGTACCCGTGCTCGATCACGACGCCGAGCTGCGCATGGTACTCGTTCTCGAACGGCGCGGACATCGTCATCATCAACCCGAACAGCGGGCCCGGGAAGACAGCGAATTCGGACTACGTGAACTTGGTCAGAGCCATCAGAGCGTCGACGAGCACGTACATCACCACCATTCTGGGCTACGTGGCCACGACGTATGGAGCCAAGAGCCAGGCCGCCGTCAATGCCGAGACCGACCTGTACAACTCTCTGTACAAAGTAGACGGGATTTTCTTCGACGAGGCGTCCACGGACTGCACCAAAACGTCGTACTACAGCAACATTGTGACACATGTGCAGGACACGACCATGTCGCCCACTGGCCAGGATTACACCATTCTCAACTGGGGCACCAATGGGCCCGAATGCTTCCTCAAGACCGCGTCGGGCAATGTCCCCGCCGACAACTTCGTCACCTTCGAGAGTGAGTCCTGCAGTCGATGGATTGGAATGGAATCGAATGAAGATTGTGCATTCATGTCATTCATTTTCGAGCTCCTGTGAATGTGAATGATGTGACGTGATGTGTCTGTCGTGCAGATTCTCACGCGAGCTATGCTTCGTACGCTCCCGCCGCGTACATGGCCAAGTATGCACCGTCACGCTTCTACCACATCGTGTACAAAGTGACTCAAGCCAACCTCATCTCCACCATGACCAAATCGAAGAAGTCTCGCGCCGGCGGGGTCTATATCACGAATGATGTTCTGCCGAATCCCTACGACACTGCCCCGACGCCCTTCACCTCGTACTGGAAAGCGCAGGTCGCCAAGGCGGCCGCCTCGTGCTGATCTCGAGCGCCTTATTTCCTTATATAATTTCTTGCACTCATCAAAAAAGATGAAAAATACAATTCGGAATTTGCCACCCACAACGACACCATTCGACTCCGAATCCGAGTGCTATTCCTTACACAACATTTTAAACTCATCAAGATAATTGAAGAAGTCAATTTGTGAGGTCACAAATTGCCTTCTTCAATCAGTTTGGATCCTGCAAACGCACTTAGACTATTGTACTCTTGTTTTTTGATAGAGCCTTGGCAATGTTAGAACCTTTTCAAATCTAGACATGTCTTTACTCTTATCTCCAACTCCGGGCGCCAACCGCGGCAACGTCCATAGCCTAGGGATGATCTTTCTTAAATCAATTCTTGAACTCATCAAGAATAATGAAGAAGACAATAGATGTCTAAGTTGTAACCTTTTCAAATCTAGACATGTCTTTACTTTTATCTCCAACGCCGGCGTCGACCGCGGCAACGTCCATAGCCTAGGGATGATCTTTCTTAAATCACTTCTTGAACTCATCAAGAATAATGAAGAAGACAATTGATGTCTAAGCAAACACAACAACACTCTTGGTCTTGTGAATATCTTCCTTCAAAGACTTACTTAAGTCATCAAGTTAGATGAAAAAGGCAGTTTGTAACCTCTTCAATTGCTTTGGATCTTGTAACGTAACATATACTTATTGTCCTTGTGAAGGAGAGGGTAGAGTGCCCTTTCCTTCGTGATCGGATTATCAAGACATTTCGCGCCTTTGGCGCTTCCTTCATAGAGGCAAAGAAATCTCCCTATTGGTCCGAAATTGCATGCGCATCTTCGGACCCATAGGGAGAGATATGTACTGCGAAGACTAAAGGCAGAGGTGGATAGGGGAAAAATATTTTTAATGGTTGAATGGCCTCCCTACAAACCATATGTGCAAGATTATATTGCATACGGGTCTCTGAGGGGATGCTATTCAACAACAATTGGCCGGGCGCAACGTCACTCATTCTGCAAATTTTCATATTTGTAAATTCATGATTCCATAAACTATTTCTGTTGAGACTTCGCAATGTAGGGAGCCATCTCAAATTGAGACTCTTCGGTTGATTTGGATTTTGTAAACTCACATAGATTTATCGTACTCTAACTTCTTTTGACCTTTCACAATCTACATTAACCTTTCTAGCTTCTTCTGTTGACAGTTGCAAGTGAAGGATGGCTTCTCAAATGGAGCCTCGTCAATTGCTTTGGATCTTGTAAACTCACTCTTGATTGATCTTACTTAAAGTATTTCTTGAATTCATCAAGAAAGATGAAGAAGTCATTTACACCCTTGGATTCCCACACGCTTATAATATCATCCTGAGTCCAAGGCTGTGGATGATATTACTTCAAAAAATTCTAACCTCAAGAAGAAAGATGAGGAGTTAAATTGGTGGCCTTTTCTTTTGATTTGTATCTTGTAAACTGATCTAGACTTATCTTATTCTTGTTTCTACTCTTGAGACTTAGCAATGCCTTTCGACCCAACGCAGTTTAAGTTACATTGCTTCTAGGGTTTAAACTTTCGATTACAGTACTCAGTGTGAGCACAAAAATTCGCTCACATGTCTTTTTAACCTGATGAGAGTTAAAATTCTACATTTAAGCTCTTGCAAAATTATGCTTGGAGTTTTCTGAAAGTTTTGTTAAGATTAGGAGTTGGTGTAATAGCTAGTAAGCAAAGGTGCGGAAAAGGGCCTTCGGGGCAAGGTTTTCGGCGAAGTGCCTTCAGTGAAGTCCCTTCGGGAAAAGACCTTCGGCGAAACAGTGAAACCCTCATAACGTTTTCAATTTGTAACGCCTTGAATTAATTAGGGTCTTGTTGGAAAGAGCTTCTGACGCTGGTTCCAACGAGACCAAGAACTTTTCAAACGGATCAGAGTTCAGTGAGTTATGAATGTCTAAAGTGGCTGATAGGGTTAGGTAGCACGAGTTCGGCGGAAGGGCCTTCGGCGGTAGCTGTCCTTCGGCGGAAGCGTAGAACCGTGATAACTTTTTTGGTTCTGAACGGTTTGACTTTGTTAGGGGCTTGTTGGAAAAAACTTAACACGCTCGTTCCAACAAGCCCAAAAACGCTTTAAACGGATCAGGGATCAGTGAGTTATGAGTGTCTCGAGTTATGAGTTATGAGTTATGAAGTTTATGAATGGAAGGGCCTTCGGCGACGGACGTCTTCGGGATACGCCTTCGGGGATGCAGGAGAGTGCTTTCGGCGGAAAGGTAAAACCGGCATAACTTTTTCAATTTGTAATGGTTTGACTTAATTAGTGTCTCGTTGGAAAGAACTCGCGATGCTCGTTCTAACGAGACCAAGAACTCTTGAAACGTATCATAAGTGAGTGAGTTATGAATGTCTAAAGTGGCTGATATGGTTAGGTAGCAGGCCTTCGGGGCAAGGCCTTCGGCGGAAGTGTAAAACCGTGATAACTTTTTCAATTCATAACGGTTTGAGTCAGTTAGGGTCTTGTTGGAAAGACCTTGCGACGCTTGTTTCAACGAGACCAAGAATCCTTGAAACGAATCAAAACTCAATGAGTTATGAGTGTCTAAAGTGGCGTATATGGTTAGGTGAAGGGCCTTCGGCGACGGACGTCTTCGGTGACGGACGACTTCGGGGATACGCCTTCGGGGATGCGGGAGGGTGCCTTCGGCGCAAGAGCCTTCGGCGGTAGGATGACTTCGACGGTGTGTGGATTAAGATTTCCGACGGCGGAGGTCAACGTGGTCATGAATGTGGAATGTGCAAGTGCGGCATGCAAGCGGCCTGTGGGCACCTCGGCCCTTGGACTTTTGGAGATGAATTTTTGGCCTGGGGATAGAGATCGTGTGGTGTGCCATTGTGTGGAGACGCTGGTGGGATCGGTAGGAGGAATACAGTGTGGATGTGAGTGATTTTCGCCGGGAAGTGGTGAGAATTAGGAGGGGAATGTAGAGAATTCGAAGGAGGAGGGAGAAAAATCTCGAGGGTGGAGAGTCGTATCTGAGAGTGAAATTTAATCGGGGTCTGAAATCGAGGTGTCGAATCTGTGAGTGGGAGCTGAAATCGAAGTGGAGGTTCTGAGAGTGGGAGTTGAAATCGGACTGAAATCTGAGACTAAAATCTAACAGTCGGGATCTGAATTTGAAATTGAAAAGTGAGAGTTAAATCAGAGAGAGAAATCTGGTGGGGTCTGAAGGTGGAAGCTGAGAAATTGACACCGAAATCTGAGTAGGTATTGGGAGTGGAACTGAAATCGAAGGTGAGAACTGAGGCTTTGAGACTGAAATCTGATACTCGACATTGTGGGTGGAATCTGATAGGAGGGAGAAATCCCTGAGTGCAAGGGCGTTGAGTGCGTGGGGCCGCTGATAGTGTCGCCGGAGGGCTGAGTGGAGAGTGTGTGTGAAGGCCAAGAGGGTCGCTGGGCTGAGAGTGAGTTGATCACTAAGAGGAAGAATCAAGCAAAGTGTTGAGAGTAGAATCGTGTTCCCTGGGTGTGAAGATTGCTGTTAAGAACGGTGTCACCTCGTGCTGCCGGTGTGTTACCTGACTTAGTCTGAGGCAATGTGTCCGAGATCTGGCACTCATTCTAGGATAGGCCCGCAGCGGCCGTAGTATTGAGAAAGTCACCCAGAGTGGGGATAGATCCTTATGTTACGAGGAGCTTGTCTGCTACTCTTGTGAAAATAGCAGACAGCAAGTTGTTAGTGTCAGTTCTGGACAATTTGTCTGCGAAAAATCGAGTATTTATAATTTCATTGTCTTGAATACACTTTGAGCACATGGTTTGAGATCAGAGAAGTTGGATTATGGGAGCTAGAACCCCCACCTGGATTACAAACGCTGAAGGGTGGGGAGTTTCGGCTCACACTCAGCTCTATTTATAAACATGTTATAGCTTTGTTTCCACTTGATTGACGGTCCAGTCGGTAATTTCATCCGATTGAATCTTAGTTTGAGATCCAGATAGGCAGTATTAGAAGTTCACGAACTCTACCCGTTTCAATCATCGGTTGACCTTCAGTTTAGGAGAATTGGAGCTCACCATCGGTGGGAAGGTGAGCAAAAAACTGCGTAGGGTCTGTACCCACTTCTCCTGATAAAGGCAGTCTCATTCATCTGCGCTTCATCTTATGCATCAAGGATTCGTGAACTGAACGGAACCATATTCAGGTATTCACTGGAATACGAACAGGTGTACAATGTTGTGTGCATTGAGTGATGAGAGGGGTCAAAGGAGCAAATTTTTATGATCCGCACTACTCGGAGGGAATGAGAATCCTCCGATATTCCTAAATTTTCATGTCGAGATTTTCAGATGAAACAGCACTCATCGTTCCTGAGTCAATTGACTCGTTCAAGACGAAACGGATGGGACAAAAGATCTGACTACCAAATTACAATAGCGTGAGCTTGATCGTAACAAATATTTCAGTTGGAACAACTAACCAAGTCGAAAAAATCTTAACATTGGACTAGGAGGAAGAACAGATTTAGAATTACTCAATTGGAACCCACCAGAGAATCCACAGCACTTACAAAAATGAGAGTCAAGTCCGAGGTAAAATGCTTGATCAAAAATGGTACCCAACGAAATATATTTTTTAATCAACGTACATGTTGTCCCTGTAGAGATACGCTGATTTGCTGAGTGCCGTGAACCATGATTATTCATTTTCTATCTGGTTTGATTACCGTGGCACTAAAAACATTACACTGCTTATTTGTCTCTGATCAGGTCCATATTTATAGACTAAGCGCTTTGATTTAAATCCTGCGTCACCAGTAAGAGCAGGAAGTATATCGGGCTTCCAGGATACTAGAGACTGGATGCCTTGAACAACCATTTTCAGCAGTAGAACACATCAGTCCACCTCCGACCGACGGGACTGATCAAGATGGCTAAGAAACTTCAGGAAGTACTCATTGTTCTGGTAGAAGCTGCGGACAGAGAGAATCACCCGATGACAGTTGCTGGAAGATGCGCTCATCTTCCAGCGATGCGTCCCAGCGTTTTGTCTGACCGTGCTAGGAATCCGAACGGGGAAAGATCAAGATGAAGGAGCTGGAGATGGTGATTTAGATGGAGGAGAACGGGGGACAGATTGAAGACGAGCAGTTAGATGTGAGTGGGAAGAGGTGGAAGAGTCGGAAGAGGAGGTAGCGTAGGAATGTGAGTAGGACGAGGTGGAAGCGTTGGAAGAGTTGCGAGAGGAGGTAGCGTTGGAATGTAAGTGGGACGAGGTGGAAGCGATGGAAGATGAGCAGGAAGAGGTGGAAGCGTGGGAAGAGGAGGCGGCTTTCGGATGTCAGTAGGAAGAGGTGGGAGACTTGGGAGCGGAGGCAGCGATGGAAGATGAGAAAGAAGACTTGGTAGAGGAGGCAACGTTGGAAGCTGAGTAGAGAAAGTTGGGAGGGGAGGCAGCGTTGGAAAATCAAGCATCATACGAGCTCCCAGCACCGAAGGAAAGCATATCGCCGTAAAACAGATGAAACTCATGAGTTTCACTGGAAAGTCCCTCAGAGATCGATACATCGTCACCATCTTGATAGAACGCTGGACTGAATCTGTCCTTTGTTTCGAGTTGCTTCGTCCTCTGCAAGCTGATGACGGATATGCTCAAAGTAGGAAGCTTATAAGGGCCCGATTTGGACTCAGATCTGTGAGAGTATTATGGCAGGCCGGATATGACAGTCAGGGCGGGTGGGCAGTTCCGTAGTAAGTTACACTTTCCTACCATGAGCAACGACATTCGATCGTTTCGGAATTCTAGAGCCTGAATCTGCGGACCGAAGTGATGGACCTTAGAAGTCGTGCTGGTTTATCAATATTATATTGCTTAGGCGTCGTTTGATTTTTGCAGTCAATTGTTGCTGAATAATGTCAGATCAATAACTGCACATGTCCAAAACTTTTGTCAATTATCATGTGAGCGTGTAATCTATACGTACGAGCAATAGCGACCGAGATTGGTTCATTTGTTTTCTTTCGTGATTGTGGGTACAGTAATTCGGAAGGGTAGATGGTTTCTCAAGGTAATGAGTATATTATTATTATATGAGTTTCTTATTCGAATTTTTTCCTGTCAAATTTGAAAAGGTATTGAGCAGATCATGTTACGATATCTATCTTTGAAGAAATTTGGAAATGTCTCTTTAGATAGGGTAGTTGTCCTCAGTTTGGGTTTATTATCACTCACCCTAGTCTAATGTGCACTACTTCTTCTTTTCCCAAGCTCGCAAATATTATATCATTCAACTCTAGTATACATAAAGATAGCTCTAACCAATCACAGATATTACCAATCACTGTTATGTATAGTATAGTAATGTGAAGAATAATTAACCCAAATTGAAGTATAATTGGACTCTCCCGCATACAATAGATATATCAACTCTACCCATATCCATACAAGCATTGATCAAGACCTTCCGGTTGAATTAACTATACGTACCTTCCGTGTCTTAAACTACAACGCCGAGAAAAGAGATACAACAATTTTTGCAGTATAAAAATCTGCAAAAATTACTGTTGTTAGGTGGTTTCCAATACAATTGTAAGTAGACTTCTAAATATTGTGGTAAACGAATGCATGTTGGCTTTACCACTAGCACTGTAAGGTAATACCAAACTCTTATGTAATCAATAAAAATTGCCTCGTACGTCTTTACTTTCTCATTCCATATTTAAGTATGTAGGTTATTTTCAGATCTAAATCTCCATCCATAATTTAATAGATAGATAATTTTCAGCTCTAGAACTCCACCCTTGTGCAAATTTGTCGAGGTGGAAGTCTTATGCTTCCATATACTTATTTAGCTCTACTTAGCATTTGAAACTCGCTACAACCAATTTTCCTGAACTCCCCTCTGGAAGATTCTGCGTCCCCTTCAAGTCATCTCCAGATTGTAACAACAAGACAAGCATCAAAACTTTTCAGACAACTCACTCCAAGCATTAGATCTGACTCAATCAAGCTGCTTTAGATCTTGACTCCGCTCGTGAACGGTGGTCCACGAGCAAAACATCATATTGTTCTCACTCTTTTTTAACCTAAATATCTTTTAATAAAAATCCCCTTCCAAAATGCTCCTTGTACTCTTCTTGAATGGCATAAGTTGAATTGGCATAACCACCTTACAAATGTGTACTAAGGAATGATGAAAATTGTCTTGTGAATGTCTGCTGATGATATCAAAATTTGATTGTAACTTGCATATCCATCCATAAAACTATAATGATCATAACCACCAACTTCTCTAACAACTAGGTGATGAAAGGCAAGGAAGAATGATACTTTTGGATGTTGATATTCAGCTTATTTTAATCCACAAACATACTTAACTTTCCATTGCTCTTCTTCAATGACACCATAAAAAATCCAGTTTTTGTTATCCTTTTCCTTCAACGCCTTCTCATTGTACTCATTGATTTTAGATTGCTTTGACTTATACAATTTTTCATGTGTTTCTTGTCGTGCTTTCATTGTTCTGCTTTTGATACTGTATGCTGATATTAGCTTATCATACACTTGCTTCTTTTGTTGAGACTTGGCAATATAGGGAGATTCTCAAATTCTAACATGTTTTTTTTTTCTCTCCTTTTGCTTTGCCAACCAAGGCGACACCCTTTACCTCAGAATGATCTTTCTTAAATCACTTCTTAAACTCATCAGGAAAGATGTTAAAGTCAATTGATGAATTGGCCAACCACAGCGACATACTTGGCATTGGCATGATTTTTCTTGAATGACTTCTGAACTTATCAAGAAAGATGAAAAAAAAAGTTGGTATTCTTATCAACCATGGCAACACCCTTATATTTGGGATATTTTGACTTATATGACTCTTTTAATTCATCAAAAAAGATGAAAAAGTCAATTGATGGCATCTTCCATGGTTTAGATCTTGTAAGTTGACATAGACTTATTACTTTCTTGTTTCTTCTATTGAGTTTTTGCAATACAGGAAGCCATATAGTATATATGGCAGTACAGCCAGCCATCTTATTATAGTAAGATATTTCATTACTCTTTTATCTTTCAGCTTTGCCAACAACGGCAACATCCTTGGCCTCAAGATGATCTTACTCAAAATAATTCTTGACCTCATAAAAAACATAAAGAAGCCAATTGATGGCCTTGACAATCATGATGACCGTCTTGATCCGAGTATGATCTTTTTTTAACGAATTCTTGAACTTATCAAGAAAGATGAAGAAGTCACTTGATTGTCTTGCCAATCATGTCAACACCCTTGGCCTCAAGATGATCTTCCTTTAACAACTTCATGAACTTATAAAAAAATGAAGAAGTTAGTTCGTGGAATCTTTGGTTGGTTAGGATCTTGTAAGCTGACATAGACTAATCAACTTTTGCTTGTTTAGTTGAGTCTTGACAATGTATGGAATCTTTTCAAATTTAGACATGTCTTTTCATTTTTCTATTGTATTTGTCAACCACAGCAACATCCTTAGCCTTAAGGTGATCTTCCTTAAACAATATCTTCAACTCGTCAAGAAAGATGTAGAAGGCAGTTAATGATCTTGCCAACCACACTTGCATCCTTAGCCTTAGTTTGATATTTCTTAAATGACTTATTGAACTTATCACTTGCATCCTTAGCATTAGTTTGATATTTCTTAAATAACTTATTGAACTTATCAAGAAAGATGAAAAAAGTAGTTGGTGATCTTGCCAATCATAGCGACATCCTTGATCTAGGTATCATCTTACTTAAACTTCCCAAACTCATTAAGATAGATAAAGAAGTCAATTGATGGACTCTTTGGTTGGTTTTAATCTTGTAAGCTGACATAGACTTATTAATCTCTTGCTTCTTTTGTTGAGACTTCTCAAATTCTAACATTCTAACATTCAGTTTTATTTTTTTTCTTCTGCTTTGCCAATCACAAGGTCATTCTTGGTATCCGTATAATCTTCCTTCAACGAACTCTTTTGCTTCTTCTATTGAGCATTGTCAAATTCAAGCATGTTTTTCCATTTTTTTTCTTCTGATTTGCCAATATGCAGGTATTTACTGGAATACGAACAGGTGTACAATGTTGTGTGCATTGAGTGATGAGAGGGGTCAAAGGAGCAAATTTTTATGATCCGCACTACTCGAAGGGAATGAGAATCCTCTGATATTCCTAAATTTTCATGTGGAGATTTTCAAATGAAACAGCACTCATCGTTCCGAGTCAATTGACTCGTTCAAGACGAAACGGATGGGACAAAAGATCTGACTACCAAATTATAATAGCGTGAGCTTGATCGTAACAAATATTTCAGTTGGAACAACTAACCAAGTCGAAAAAATCTTAACATTGGACTAGGAGGAAGAACAGATTTAGAATTACTCAATTGGAACCCACCAGAGTATCCACAGCACTTACAAAAATGGGAGTCAAGTCCGAGGTAAAATGCTTGATCAAAAATGGTACCCAACGAAATATATTTTTTCATCAACGTACATGTTGTCCCTGTAGAGATACGCTGATTTGCTGAGTGCCGTGAACCATGATTATTCATTTTCTATCTGGTTTGATTACCGTGGCACTAAAAACATTACACTGCTTATTTGTCTCTGATCAGGTCCATATTTATAGACTAAGCGCTTTGATTTAAATCCTGCGTCACCAGTAAGAGCAGGAAGTATATCGGGCTTCCAGGATACTAGAGACTGGATGCCTTGAACAACCATTTTCAGCAGTAGAACACATCAGTCCACTTCCGACCGACGGGACTGATCAAGATGGCTAAGAAACTTCAGGAAGTACTCATTGTTCTGGTAGAAGCTGCGGACAGAGAGAATCACCCGATGACAGTTGCTGGAAGATGCGCTCATCTTCCAGCGATGCGTCCCAGCGTTTTGTCTGACCGTGCTAGGAATCCGAACGGGGAAAGATCAAGATGAAGGAGCTGGAGATGGTGATTTAGATGGAGGAGAACGGGGGACAGATTGAAGACGAGCAGTTAGATGTGAGTCGGAAGAGGAGGTAGCGTAGGAATGTGAGTAGGACGAGGTGGAAGTGTTGGAAGATGAGCAGGAAGAGTTGGAAGCGTTGGAAGAGGAGGTAGCGTAGGGATGTGAGTAGGACGCGGGGAAAGTGAGGGAAGAGGAGGCAGCTTTGGAATGTGACTGGGAAGAGGTGGAAGCGTTGGGAGAGTTGGGAGAGGAGGCAGCGTTAAAAGATGAGTAGAAATTGTTGGGAGAGGAGGCAGAGTTGGAAAATCAAGCATCATACGAGCTCCCAGCACCGAAGGAAAGCATATCGCCGTAAAACAGATGAAACTCATGAGTTTCACTGGAAAGTCCCTCAGAGATCGATACATCGTCACCATCTTGATAGAACGCTGGACTGAATCTGTCCTTTGTTTCGAGTTGCTTCGTCCTCTGCAAGCTGATGACGGATATGCTCAAAGTAGGAAGCTTATAAGGGCCCGATTTGGACTCAGATCTGTGAGAGTATTATGGCAGGCCGGATATGACAGTCAGGGCGGGTGGGCAGTTCCGTAGTAAGTTACACTTTCCTACCATGAGCAACGACATTCGATCGTTTCGGAATTCTAGAGCCTGAATCTGCGGACCGAAGTGATGGACCTTAGAAGTCGTGCTGGTTTATCAATATTATATTGCTTAGGCGTCGTTTGGTTTTTGCAGTCAATTGTTGCTGAATAATGTCAGATCAATAACTGCACATGTCCAAAACTTTTGTCAATTATCAAGTGAGCGTGTAATCTATACGTACGAGCAATAGCGATCGAGATTGGTATTTTTTTTTCTTTCGTGATTGTGGGTAATTTGGGAGGGTCGATGGTTTCTCAAAGTAATGAGTAGATTCTTATTTTATGAGCTTCTTATTCAGTTGATTTTTTCCTTTCAAATTTGAAGAGCTATTGAGTAGAACATGTTACGACATCCATCTTTGAAGAAACTTGGGAATGTCTCTTTAGATTATACAAAAGACATATCAACTCTACCCATACGCGCATTGATCAAGACCTTCTGTTCTGAAAAAACTGACTCCGTCCAATATTCAATGTCTTGAACTACAGTGCCGAGAAAAGAGATACTGTACAACAACTCTGCTGCACCAGCGAGTATAAAAATCTGCAAAATTGACGATTGTTAGGTGCTTTCCAATACAATTGTATGTAGACTTCTAAATATTTTGGTAAACGAGTGCATGTTCGCTTTACCACAATCACTGTAAGGTGATACCAAGCACTTATTTAATCAATAAAAAAATGCCTAGTATGTCTTTACTTTCTCATTCCATAACTTAATATATAGGTCATTAAGATAATGTATATCATTCCAGACAGTAAGATCATGAGGCTGGAACTTGTAATGCCCAATTGTTTGTTTGTTATAATGCGATCCATGCTATCAAACTAACTTGTACGATAAATTCATCCCCAAACCTCTTTTCTCAAATTCTAGACTTGTATCCGTAATATCATAAATTTATAGAAGGTAACATGATATTCAATTACATGAATGACACTTCATCACGACCCACCACCAGGAGTAATCTTACATAAAACCTCGCATGTTCGTGAAATATTGAAACTAATAATAACTACCAATGTGATTACTAATCATATTAAAGCACTAATCACTGATTAGTGCATTTTATTATAAATAGTTTTAAACATCAGTATGAAGTTTGCAAAATAAATAAAAATGAGGATCCCTTCGCTACATTGCAAATTCGTGACACATAAGGACTATAGAATGTTGCAAGTTCAAGTATTCCTCACATCAAGTCATTTCTAATGGCTGTAAACCATTAGAAATGATTGCATCCACCTAGATTTGCTAAACTCTCAACCTTACTGAATTTAAAATATCACCGAAAATACCTGCTCCTCAATGAACTTACATTTTAAGGCTACAAACAGAGGCTATAAGTTATCTTCTACAATCAATGCATGAAAATTACTTTCAAGTTGTATTTTAAACGTTTAAAAATTTGAATGGTTCCAAGTCAATTGATTCGTTCGAATCCAACTGACAAGAGGAAAGTTGTGTCCACAAAGTTAATATAGCAAGAGCATGATGGGGACTATTTCAGCTAGAATGTTTGAAAATCCCCATAAAGGGTCGGAACTTAAGTATGGCTTGTGCCATACTTAAGTTTCAGGTAACAGCCCAACTAATGAATCTTCGAGTCTCTTCGCGGATACGAGGTATCAGTGAACAGTTCAGCTGATCCACTGTAAAGGATTACAGTGGATCATGTTGCTGCCTCCGTGTAGTAGAAATTAACCATTTTAGCCAAAATTCTGAAGTGGAATTCACCAGAATATGCACAGCATGTACACAAATGGGAAGGAAATCCTAGTATAATAACATGGCCATTATTGCTTGATAAAAAAAAGTGTACCCAATAAGAAATTTTATTCGATTAAGATAAGATAAACAATAATAATGCCCTTTAAATCTTATTTGATTTCCATCACACTAAAGATATCACACTGCTTATTACATTTATGCAAGCAAATAATATTGCAGTCTTTGTTTGCAAGGCACTGAAGTTTGTCTCCGATCAGGTCCATTGTAAACAAATACGTGTACTACAACGTGACTTGCAACGAAAACATGAATGTCGTAACCTACGAAAACTTAAAATACATTCGCTCGTAATATGAACTTAATAAATTTCATATATTGAGTAGTTTTAGAAAGGAAGATTTGGGAAATTGACGGAAAGTCTGATTTCTCACCGAATTCCCACGTTATCATCCTATGTCGTTGATCGGCATACATCTCTTAACGTTACAGTGCTTGCACAATAGTAAAAACTATAACTTGAAGGTGTAGCTTGGCTACAAATTTACATTTGTATATATGTAAATCTAAACATGTGTACACAGGTCGTATGACCGGTGTACTTTAGAACGCCGCAGGTACGGCGGACCGGTCAGAAAAAAAAACAGAGATTTAACTCTTGTAAGATCAATCATTGCGAAACAGTGCTGATCTCTCCAGAAGGTGAAATGAATTGCTGAAACAACTCACACCGCACAACATGCGCTTATGCGCTTATACGTACGTTATATGATATATAAGATGCGCTCATATTATCTCCATGTGAATCAATCGCAATTGGTCATACATCAGGTTCCTGCATACAAGCCGGCCTGCCGTGTCTCATGTGATGAAATCAACTTCAGTGTAAAGCAATAGACGGAATTCTAGTAGACAAATATGCCTCCGATATGCCATATCCTGGAAAAAGTGCGACCGACCTTATATTGTCCTACTTGTCAGGACTGATAAGACAATTTCCTCAAAGGAGCATTACCAACTATGAGTGTTCCCTGATCTAGTCTTCAAACTGACGGTCCAAACATTCTACCTATGAAAACGAGAGGATTCTAACGACTGAAAAGTGCACTAGAGTAAAGATCGAGCAATGCTCCAAACCCCTCGCTTCCTCTTTCAAACTCCACAGGCTATCTCCATGTACATATGTACATGGAGAAAAGATCATGCAAACAGAATCACGTCCCACATTGGGAGGAACTAAGAACTGATTCCACAACAGATCCTAGCTTGCTTAAACAGAAGGTCCAAAACCTTGAAAGACGAACCAAAATGAAAAAAAAGCAACGCTGGTCCACTGGTCAGCAACATCAAATGATAATGAATACAAGGGAATTCGTCTTCACATCGGGTCTAGGGAATATGGACGAGGCCAAAATTTGAATGGTCAGTAGTCGATCCAGCATTCGAAATCATCCTTGCACGAGAAGAGCTACGGCCTGAAGGTCAGCTGGCGACATCACTCGACCAGTAAAACACAGAATTCTCGACAAACTTCTTTTCAATTGCCCATCAAAACTTCTGATTATGCTCAGAACTGAACTCTAGTGTATACATAATTGGTATCCCATGAGAACTATTACATGCTCAGACAATCCATGGGGATGTGACATCTTTAAACTTTCGAAGTCTACAATCCCCCCTAGTAATATCTTCAATCTACAATCAAATGTGGTGGTGAATTTGGCTTGGAAGGTGAATACCATGGCCCGCGGAGTGAGACATGTCGTCTCCCTCGGCAGCTGGGTCAAGTGAACATTGGGAGAAGAATGAGCACCAACCACAGACGGACAAAATGACTTCCACCATCCAGAGCTTCTGTGAGAGAAAGGATGTACCTACCTACCAGCTAACTTTGCTGACGCTAAAAGTGGCTTAGGACCCACTCTGTCTCGGTCTTTCCAAGGGTGGATTCAGTCCCGTACTCATAATTACAACAAACAAGACTGCAAACAGATCTGCATAATATCCGAGGTGCTAAAGGTAATACTGCAAACCTCATCACATAATTGTGCAGCTGCATTTCGCCTTCGATGATTTTATTGGCGCAACGTCCTTCTTCGCGCTAACTTCCACGATTGTGTGTGCAGGAGAATCCATGGAGTTAACCTCCTTCACTGGAGACAACATGAACTTTGGTGGAGACAAATGAACTGGAATTTTCACATCCTCTACAACGACCTTCGTTTCGGGAACTCCACCATCCTTCTCCGAAGATTTCATGTCTCTCTCAAACAGTTGAGTAGGAGGACTTTGCAAGCAAGTATCAACAGGTGTAAATGATGATACTTGCTGACCCATGAAGGCTAATGCGCGCCGTACAGACGCAGGACTGGAGTTCACTCCCTCTCCATTCCACTTCCCCAGCTCTCCTCCTACGTTTGCAGAATCAACTGTATCCCTGGTACCGTGCGCAGGTAAACCTACATCTCAACAAGTTTGAGAGCGTTAGTTGCACTGGTTTGCTTCTCGTTGCTGTAGCTTGGACATACTGATATTGGTGACTATGGGTTGTAGGTTTGACTATGCAATAAATATGTGGTCCGGTCTGCAGTTTTGTTCTCGTGAGAATGCCTATCACCAGCACTTAAGGCAGAAGTGATAATAGAAAGCGTTGAAATAGTAGTTGAAGTGTTCTCTGACTCGCGGTCATATTCTCACTCAGAAAACAGGAAGATAGTGTGAACTAGTATAATCAGTGGAATCTTAACACATCTGTAGCTCCTACTCCCATTCATTACAATCTCCAACCTATGTGAAGTAATATAGGGACTATTTAATAGCTCTAGGCTCCACTGAAAGGCGAGATTCAGCAAGGTGAGCTCCACACCTCCTCACTCTTTGATTCTCTCGTTGAAAAATCTGGGTAGCAAAACAAGGACTCTCAAGTTCCTATAAATGACTCCACAATTTTCAATTCCTGACATTTCTACCTGAATGGTATTGTATTCGAAGAGCTTACTCTTTGAGTACAATTCTTACTCTTTGTAGGTAAAAGAACCACACCGAGTAAATGATCCAGAATGTCAGCTTTGCTATGAACCACGAGTAAGATAATACCTGTTGTGCTTGGTTCCCACTGAAGGCTCTCTGGTGAAACAACCGTGACGCTCGTGTACCCTGTTGGTCTCTGCGTTTGTACTGCTTCATCGGGTGAAAGACGTTCCTCCACGGCTGGTTCATTCTGAGAACCAGAATTCAGCGACATTGTTCGGACGGACTTAGCCTTGCTTATGGGTAGTTTTTTGGCCAGCTGGCTTCCAACACCATTCATTTTTTCGCCTACAACAGCAGCATCAGCCAACCCAGCATCGAATGGAGTGCCACCTTCATTGTTCAATTTCGACTCCACTTTTTCATCCCCAGTTACCCTTTCTGACGGAATGATCTCAATAACAGGAACTCCAGACTGAGCACTTGGTATAGTCACATCAAACCTTCCTCCCGTTGGGCTTCGAGAAAGTGCATGTCCTTCGGAATCTTTTTGCGCTTCGGAAAGGTTGCCCAAATTTCCTACTTGTTCCACGTTCTCGCTGTGACTTGAACTTGGATCCATGTTGCACGCTTTATCATCTGATGGCAAGCTCTGTTGTCGATCAACTTCCTTGGGCCCATTAGCTACGTGCAACTTCTCGCTCTGTCTGAGATTTTCGGCGGTATTCCATTTCTCATCGGAAGGAGTCGAGCTTCTTTGTTCATTCCACACTTCTTCCTCAATGCTGATGAATTCCTCTTTGTAAAGTGCAGGAATTCTACTTTCAGAAACCGATGGTAAATGTGGAACATCGGGCTTACCTGCGGATGTTTCTGCTGACTGTACTTCGCCACTCTTCGAAGAATCCTCGATTCCAGACGAATTTACTGACTCCGCTTCATCGCTCTTCGAGACATGCGAAGACTCAGTACATACAGGACTCTCACCTAGAGAAATAAGAGACCTCTCAATATGTCCACTATCCGTTCGATCCTCATGTCCACTCTCATCTTCCGCACGAGATGCTTCAGTCTGAAGCTTCTCAGCACCACTGGCCACTACAGCGATAGATTGAATAGGCGCGTCAGGAAGGAATTCGTGATCTAGGATTTCTGGAGCCTTGGCAACCATAGATGACATTTCCTCCTCCCCATCGGCTCTCGCGCTGAAAGTATTGTCAGCTGGACCTACTTCCGAGTCGTCCAGTGGTTTGTCAGTACCAAACGATTCGACCACGATACTTTCACCACTTGTTATCTGGTCCTCACTGCTTTTACTCGGCAACGTCTCTGATTGAGACTTTGAGTCACTGACCTCGGCCGTTGGGTTTGTAGGAGGAGAAAGTAGCATCTGTGAGGTCTCCTCTTGATCTTCCTCAGCGGCACCTTGAGTACCCGCGCTGTAAGTCTCTTGTTCAGAACTAGCAGCTAAACTGCCCACTGATGTAGAAAGGGAGCTGGAGTTATGACTGACGCATTCTTGGTATGAATCCTCCTCGTCAGTTACAGCTGTGTTCTCTACATCAGTTGGGACCGGCACATTGTCAAAGGTTACTGAGTTTCTGCGTTTTGAATGAGAGCTTTCCTCGCCGTCCCGCTCATCAGAAGCTTGCAACTCAAGCAATAACTCCTCTTTCGGAGGAATAATATCCGTTGCAGATATGTGGACCTCCCGTATATATAAAGGCTCCTCGCTTCCGACTTCCGTAGCTTTCAGAGACTCCACCTCACTCTGCTCTTCACTTAAACTGTGAGAAGCAAGAGGTGGATGTGAGTCTGGGGCCACCTGCGACAGGCTTTCTTCGTTCAGTGGAAGCCGATCTCCGCAGTCTTCCTTGATAGAGTCATCGCACGGTGTTTGAGATGCATCTTCGCTGGAGACAACCCTAAGACCAAGAGTCAAACCGTCATCTCCCTCGAGGTTTGCAGATCTTGTATCTGTCACAGAATCTTCGAGGACAATATAGGCATCAGGCTCCCGTGAATCTGAATCAGGCACGGCATGGACGTACGTGGATTCCTTTTCAGCAACAGCTACCTTTCCATCTTGAAGTTTCTCCTCATACTCTCCTGCCAGAACAGTTTCCACAGTTGAGGATTGGATTGATGGCTCTCGATCAGAGATTATGACGCTGGACCCTACAGGGTAGTCACATGAGGAAGCACCTTGAGCTCTGTCCGCTTCCAAGACTTCAGAGGTCTGGCCATTGACTTCTGAGTTCAGTTCAGCTTGAAGTGGAAGAGCATCTGCAGTAAACCGTTCTTGTGGACTCTCCGGCATTTCTGCAAGTGGATCTTGATCTGCTGATGGTACTTTCGGATACTTTGGTGCTTCATTTACATCATGCTGCTCTGCAGATGCTCCTTCGCTAGGAACTGCAGGCATCTCTCCAGGCAACGTTTCCTCATCAGCTCCTAAAACTCCTTCAGTGCTTCCTTCATTTCCTCCGGCAACGTTATAAGGCTCGATCAATTTCTTCTTCTCTGTAGATAAGTTTGACGTCGAGCTTTGGACTCCATCCACTGAAAACTTGTTTTCACGACCTGGATCGTCTTCGTCAGAGTGTTCTGATCCAGGACTCGTTCTTGACAGCTGGTTTCCAGTCGGCTCTACCTCAGCACATGGACAATCGGCAAGTACAACGTCATCGAGCACCACTGCGCCTACCGTTGGCCCTACGTGAGGATCCTGGAAGCTCTCTTTTTCCAGGTGCTCCTCATCAGCTGAACGTTGCCCTGCCGATCCTTCTACATCTTCGACAGCGTGAGACCTTAGCCCTACAGAATGGCATTCACCAACGGATTGCACGTCTGTAGAGATGTCGTCCTCAAGTCTCAAGCTTTTCTCCTCTTCCACCTGACCATCGACGACAGCAAGTTGATGCGGAGAAAGCGAGGCTACAGGACTCAAAACCCCGTCTCTGCTGACTGTCTCAGAGATATCCACATACAAGGCTGGAGAACTCGCGGTTTCATCTGGGCCACGGATATCAGGCACTGAGATGTTTCTTTCATCCTCAACAACTAAACTTGAGACCAAACTCTCAGAGCTCATTTCTTTGTCAGGTGCGGAGTCCTGCAAAACATCTTCATCCAAACCTTCTGAAACGGGCCCTTTGTGGACTTCTAGACTTTCTACACATTCCGGCTGCTCCAGAACCACATTATGATCAGCAGCACTTACGTCTTGCTCGTCAGAGTTTGGGGTAGTAGTCGCATGGACTAACGCTCCAGCAAGTAAGGTTCTTGGTGAAGTTGGGTCACCTTCATTGACGTTGTTGTGTATCTGTAGAACCTCCAGTGAGCTTTTAGGTGAGTCTACGAACTCCACATCCTCTTCCGCAAAGACTGGTGTGGATGTCTTCGCCTTATCCAGTGAGACCTCATTCGGATGGCCATTTGAGTAAAGTGTCAACCCATTCTCGCTGGACCTCGAAAGTCTGATTTCGCCGTTGACTTGGTTTGTATTAGCATCTTTCCCGGAGGGTTTCGATTCCTGAAGTTGGGACAGGTCATCCTCCCCAGATCCTTCAGGGTAGGCACTGTCATCATCCTCAGCCCACAACATATCCAGCAAATCTTCCTCTTCATTTGATCTAACTGGCCCCGGAGATTCATCTTGCTCCTGTTCCCGCAAAAGCTCCGAGGTCCGAGCTGACAGCTTGTCCTTGCCGACCATCACGTCCTGCTGGCCAGAAATGAAAGGTTTACTAGATTCTTCGATAGCACTGTCGATCTTTTGGATCAACCCAGCTAACTGCTCCTCAAGGGCTGCACAGAGACTGCCTGCACTTCTCATTTCAGAAAGTGGTGTTGGCAACCGACTTCTGGGTCTAGTAACACCTTCGGACATACCCGTTCGTTCGTCAGTAGATCGAACAATTGGACAACCAAGAACTACCTCCTTACTCTCAACAAAATGTGCAGAAGATACCTCCTCGCTGTCCATCTTTTCTTCTGAAATTGCTTCAAAGTAGTCTGAAGTCTCCACCGACTTAGTGTCAAGGTACTCCAGACTATATGACTCTTCAACTACGTGATGTTTCAGTGATGATTCACTTACATTCGACGAAAACTCTTCTGAAAGAGTAACGCTCTGAGGGAAAGCTACTGATTCTTTCACCTCACACACATTACTGTCCTCGCCGATTACCTCTTGTGAAAATTCCAGATTCTTGGAAGAGGCGGCCTCGGACGTATCCAGACTGCTCGCGTCCCCTGGATGATGAGGCCCTGAGCCCTGGTTCAGCTCTTCAGAACGGGCTCCAAAATCCTCAACATCATGGGGAAGAGGAACATAAGGCTTTGACATAAGAGTGTCAGCGGTTGGTTCATGTAAGACTTCACTGGGGCCCAGACTCTTCACGGATGATGTTTCGTCATCCTCCAGACTCTCCATCATCTCATTCTCCAGAATTCGAGAACGCTCTTCTGAGAAGATCGAGCCCTCAGGTCTGGCTTCTTCGACAACCTTGCTTTCTGATTCACAACCGTAATAAGGAGTTGCTTGGCGTTCCTGCTTGTCCTCCATCTCATCACCAGAGTGAAGGGAAAGCTCATCCACGTATGGAGGGTCAGGAACCGAATCGAGGGCTGTATCTTTTAACTGAAGTTGGCATTCTTCCAAGGCCGCCTTAACAAAGATCTTGCCTAAAATGTCATCAGATGCAGAAAAGCCCTCAGATACTGCTTCTGCGCAGCTTCCTTCATCCTCAGGAGAAGCCATGAAAAGGTCTTCTTTCACCTCCTTCGAACTGACCACGTCAAGATCCTTCACGATCTGACTGTCGTCAACCTTTCCAGAATCAAAAGTTTCAGTGCTCACATCTTCTTTCCGGAAACTGCCCACCACGGCCTGGGGTTCCGGCAGTACTGGATTGTCCATCACGCTCGACTGGAAACTGGTTCCTACCGAGACATTTTCTAAACCTTGCTCATCTTCCTTGCCTACCACAATGTGGAAATTGAGCGGAATAGACTGGTCCATCCCAGTGCCCAGGTGACCAGCCTCAACAGACATACTACTTGAGCCTTCTTCATCCCTGCCCGCTATAGTCTGGGAAGTGGGCAGAATTGGCTGGTCCATTTCGCTCTCCTTCGAACTGACTCCTACCAGCATCCTCGATAAAACTTCTTCATCCTCACTGCTTGCTATCATCGGGGCCGTAATCGGCAGTGGCTGGTGCATTGCACTCCCTTCATTGCTGAGTTCAACTAACACACTACTCGAAATTTCATCATCCAAGCCATGTACCGTTGAGCTATCCAGTGTCTGCGCCTCCTCTTTCTCGACATCCTCGACAGTCAAATATCCCCCACCTGCGCCGCCCAGAATCGATGCGCTGGTGTGATCTACTTCCTGATTAACAGAAACGCCATCGGCATCCTCTGTCAAGACCCTCTGGTTCTTCACCAAGTCGGGCACTTCTAGGTGTTTCTCCTGCTCTGAGCAATGTGAGACATCCGTAGTCACTATATTAGGTTCACTACATTGTTTGTGATTAACTTGCTCCGGTAAGATATCCTCAATCTGTAGAAAATCGTTGATTTCTTGATGGCCAACATCAGATGGAGCTGGAGCATCGACAATCACCGTATGGGCTTCCTCAACCTCACTGAGCACAAGACCCTTGCCTCTACTAGGTGGTTCCTCTTCCACGACCATTCCGCTATTTGAAACATCCAGCTGGTCTTCCTTGACCGGGGTCTGTAATATGACAGGGCTGATGGCAATGAGGTCCTCCTCTTGCAGAGAAGAGCAGACCCCAGTCGGACTTGGCGGGTTGGTCTCCTCTCCGTCCCTTTCAACAACGTCTTGGGCATCTTTCTCAGATGTCAGGTGACGCTCTATCTTCACCGTCGGCGATATTCCATCGAATTGCACCGAGGCCTGAAAGCCACTCTTAAGAGGTGTCACCGGCTCAGGTTCATCACTTGCTTCTACTTCTATTTGATTCTCCTTACCAGATAGTAGGAAGTCGTCCAAATTCATATTGGTGACATCGAATTCCGGTTCTTCATGTGAAAAGCTAGGACTCCCGTGTAGCACAATGGCGTCTCCGGAGGCCACATTTTCACTGCCTTTCACTTCGACACACCTCCTTTTCGGACTTTCATGTAAATCGCCTGCTTCCATCGAGGACACATCTGCTTCCACTGCCATAACAAATCTTCTTTTCGGGCTTTCATAACCTACTTCCTCCTCCATCGCCCTCACCTCCTCTTTACGAAGAGCACTCCTGTGGAGACTCTCCAGTAACTCCAACTCACCCTTTCCACCGTCGTACATTATAGAGTCATCTTCAATGTCATGTAGCTCAGGAGTGTCAACCTCATCCATTGCATGAATCTCTTCGTAGCTTAGACCACGTCTGATGTCAGATGCTTGAGAGTGAGAGGGCCTCCTTAGACTGTCAACATATAGCTTACCATCCAGCACAGCAACTGTTGGGCGTATGGTCTTTGAACCCTGATTTTCCAAGTCTAAGTATTTAGGCTGAGACGACTCGTGCTTGATTCTCTCCATCACATCCACGAGACTTAAAAGGGCTGAGTTGTTAGCATTGTCATTCTCGTCCGCCTGGAGCCGCAGGACATCTGCTTTCGATGAAGCCTCCTGCATGTGAGAAAGAACTGGCTCGGAATTTCCAACCTTCCCTCTCGACTGAGGACGACGAGGCAATTTACTTTCCATCTGCGTAAACGAAGTTGTTCCTCCTGAAACTTTGAGCTTCTGCTGAGAAAAGTCGTGGGTTTGCCTCACATTTCCGAAGTCTTTGCGACTCATTATGCTGCCAACTCCATCCCCGACCCAGCTAGTGTTGGTTGCTTCTTCTTCGGGAGCAGATGAGCTATAAGAAATAGCTGAAGCTATCTCCTCACCTTGAGGGGGAGCAAGACCCACTCTGAAATCGCGCACAAACAGACATGCAGCATTGATATCTGCATTGGAAACCTTGCTCTTCTGTGAACTCAAAACTCTCTCTCCCGTGGCCATGTGAACATCTGCATCGTACTTCCGGGACTCGTTCAGAGCATCTAGCAGTTCCTGCCTCTTCAATTTCGATCCGAGTTGTCCCGAACCGCTGTGTCCCTCATGGCCTAGTTTGTCGTAACCAGCCCTTGTGTACCCGTTCCCATCATCTGAGCGCTGAACGTCCGGTATCCGGCTGTCCTCGATGTTGCTGGCTCTCCTCTGCAAAGGCCTCTCCCCTGAACGACGTAACTCCACCTTACCATCCTCAATATTGCTGGCCCTTCTCTCCAGAACCCTTTCTCCCGGTATTATTTTCTTGGTGTTATATACTTCACCCATGAGGCCAAGTTGCTCAAGCATCTCCAAACTTGCGATACCGTCACTTTCATAGAAACTGGTTACTTCGGTATCTAAAGTGCTCTGCATACCTGGCTTATATGAGGCCACAAGGTCATTACTATTCAGACGATCGTAGTCTTGCCATGCGACCAGCTTGTCTTCATCCTTGTCCAGCATTAATATATCCGCTTGCCGTCCTCTAGGACTAGGGGACAATCTTCGACCGTAACTATCCCAGCTCAGGAGGTCATCGTCATCTCTCTCACTGCCCTCGGTATCAGGAGCTACAGTAGTACCATGTTCCGAACTGGCGTTGCTGCTGGTGGTTACAGAAGAATTCATAGCAGAGGCTGGCCTCACGATGAGACTATTTGCCCGTGTCCCATAGAAAGGAGATCCAGGACTACTTGCCATCAAATGTCTGTATGAGCTTGGGGAATGTTGGTATGCCTCCTGAGCAGTCGTAACATCAGGTGCCATGGATTAGATAGCTGTCTAGAGAGAAAGAAAAATTTCATCGAGTTGATCCAATACCCGTCTTGTCTAGTTTCGAATATGAGGAAAGTCGGGAACGAAATAGTACTTCGGCTCTCGCTAGTTGGACGAACTAAACATTATCTTACAACAGTCGTAACAATCAACTTCTTACCATCAGGAATGGCTGATATCATTACTGGCTATTACCAATCAAGAAAATGAATGAACATATATGCAGCTCACTGAAACTGAAAAAAGAAGCTTCTTTTACAGCGTTTACTTACCCCTTGCCACTTATTTGGTTCCAGAGATTTTTTAGAAGGCGTTCCTCCCGAAACAGAAGAACTACTCGAAACAACCAACGACCTCGTTACACGTTTCGACTGCACATTCGTGTTTGCCTTCCCGCTGAGCAAATCTTCATGACCTGCTGCGTGCCACTTTCCAGCGGCAGAGTTCCGGCTGCTTTGATTGGTTGGTCGACTGACCTCAATCCCATCATCATAAGACGATATGACTGACCCTCTACTCGTCTGTGAGCTGGTGCGTTGATCTTGACTGCTGGAAGAGCTGAAACTTCTTGACACGCTTGGTGATCTAGGTCGTCGTCTGCTGCGACCACTAGCATCCATAGCATCTGATGCGTGACCAGAGTCGGAGAGCGCCCTAGAGCCATTAGAACTGCTCTTCGGAGTGGAAGAGGTTCGTTCCGGGACCGTAGTACGCAGATTCGGAGGAGCCTCAGAGCACATACCGGCTACAGTCGTGATGATTGGAGTAACCCTCTTGGCAGAAGGGGAATTCCCACGGGATGACGTAGTTCTTTTAGGTGAAGGGCCACCCCGAGTTGTAGCAGGTGATGCTATCCTACCTCCGGACAAGCTTCTGCGCATGGTTGGAGTGGAAGGCTTAGACGTCGGGGTCGAGGACCTGGCACCAGGTGTCGAGGGCCTCACAGGAGGAGTTGAAGACCGAGCATTTGGTGTAGATGGTCTTGTGGCTGTGGGAGTGGAAGCAGTAGAAGAGGATGATTTGGATGCAGAAATCGAAAGCTTCAAGTTTGGAGTAGATGCTCTTACGGAGGGCGTCGAGGTTGATTTGGCAGTAGGGGTGGAGGGCCTAGTAAGAGAAGAATTCGGGGTGGAAGGCCTAGAGACAGTCGCAACCACGGGAGTTGAGTTGTGAGGGGTCGATCGAGATCTCGACATCGTGCCATTTGGGGTGGTGGAGCCTGCCCTTCTGGGACTTGGATTGCCTCGAGAGCTCTTAGGAGACGGATCCGCTGGAGAATGTGATAACTGCAAATTCGATAACAACCACGAACATATCACCAAAGGCACTCACGACAGTAATCCATTTGTTGCAAAAATACCAGTGTAGAATGAGGTTTACGTGGACAATAATAAGAATCATGAGGGTCCACGTCAGTCCACCACATGGTGCACACTACAACCATAACATAGTACAAAAAACGATGACATCAAAGAGGGGAATGAGAAAGAATTCCAAGCTTTCTAGACTTTCCCAGGCCTGAGATATTAAGAGAAAGCTAGTTACTACTCGTTAGTGTTAATTCGAGCAAGCTGCAATCGAAGGGCCTATACCGACGCTGTCCACTCAAAGAACCCGTACTGCTGCCCTGCAATGTCTGTTTTAGAGGATTCATGCATATTTACTTCCAATCAAATAGAAATTTCATCTTCTACTCTGTTGATGACGGGGACACTTTCACAACGGATAACTTTGAAAATATAATTTCGTTTTGAGCTGAACACGGGGTTGAACATATACATGCAGATGACAATTGCCGGACATTTCACCTAGAAAGACAAAAAAAAATTCATGAAGGCAAAGCAGGAAAACTCGGGCGAGAAAAGGCCTCAATATTCATGACAGAAGTCGTGAAGGTGCGTCAAACCTTGGAAGAGTTTGCCGTCGACGAGCCATTGAGAAGCGGAGCCTGAGGAGATATGACAGCCAGAGCTGCAGCTTCTTGGTCCAGCGATGGAAACAGAGGAGTTCCCGGTGGAGTCAATAGCCTGAGACAAAGTGCCCAAGATAAAAGACTCAGAATGGTGACATTCATCCGTTTTGCCGTTCTGCTCCTATAGCAAGTACCAGGGCAAGATACACTTTGAGGGCAAAACCATGACAGGAAGATTGGAGGAAACGAAATGTGTCATCTTCTCCAAGACTGAACAGCTTGAAGGGGATGAAAATGGAAGCATGACGATACATGTCGTTCCAATGTAATTCGATGCAAGTGCTCACTGAGTAATTGGTTCTCACCAGTCGTAGTCGTTCTTGTCCACGTCCGATGTCAGCAGGTCGGTTCCGGACTTCTTCGCTGGAGCCCCCATACCCCCAAATTTAGAGGCTGCAATACAAAAATGATGTTACATCTTCCAACAAAAGACTCCTGACCTACGACCCTGATCGATCGGGCTGTCTTTCTTCGTGGAGAGGCGTCTGAAGACCCCACAACAAGTCGAATTCAGACAAGTTCCTTCCACCGCGAAGGCTTTCGGCGCAAAGTGTGCTGGGCCGTAAGCGCTGGAAAGATGACCGATGAACCAAATGTGTGTACATTTCCAGGGCGAATGCGTCTTCGCGATCCTGGAGTCCTGGTCACCATTCGATCTCCGAACATTTCCAGAAGAGACTAGCCCTCACAAACGCAGCAGATTCGGGAAATGGCACATTGCTTGTACCACTCTTGTTTCACCGGCACTCTGCAGCGTGTAGTCTCCTCTGGCTTCGTCGGGACGAAATCTAACCTATGCGAGCAACCAGATCTTTTGCCCCCATGACATTCAAAACGAGGAGAGCGAGAGAACAGAAGGCTCATGAAAATCGGGGAGCTACAGTAACCACATTTCCTGTTTAACAAACCGACTGCACAACAACAATGTGGAGGAGGCAAGGGAGGTACGTACAGAGAGACACATCCAGGTCGTCCGGCGACGGATGTAGAAAATTGTGCTTCTCACGGCGCTTCATTTCATGGAACAGAGCCAAGTCCTCATCTTTGTTGTCGGGCCCAGGAGTAGTGCTCCCCATGCTTCGACCACGCCTGTGCTCCCCACCACCCTTCATTCTCGCCAAAGTTTGTGGCGGTATACAATGCTTCCCGGCCGAGGCCAATGTCGTCGCCTCTGACTTTCTCTTGGCTCGCTCACTATCTGTTCATCTTGCACAAGTTCCGTTCATGCACGTACTCCTCTACCACTAAGGTTATCCCTCTCCTAGCTCGTGACATTGGCTGCCGAGTTCACCGTGTTTCTCTCTTCCCTTCCACTGTCCCGCATGCCCAAAAACTCTCACAAACAATGCACAGGCCTCTGCTGCGGCCGCTCCAGCTTGCACAACTTCTCTCCCCGCTCCCTCCACCATATCCTTACCGCCCTTTCACTCTCATTCGTCTTCTGTCACACCGAGCAATTACATCTTCCCCACGGAAGCCTGCTGCCCTGCAGTTTTCTTTTCTTCCTCTTCTTCGCTCGATCTTCTCTCATCAGTGCAAAGGCTCTCGGACCGCACGCTCTCTCCAACGTACGAGCCTTTCAACAACCACACGCGGACTTCGTTCGCACTCCCGCTACCTCTGAGCTCCTTTGCATGACACGACGGTAATCTCTATCTCTCGCGCGCGCGCTCTCTCTCTCTCTCTCTCTCCCTCTCTCTCTCTCCCTCTCTTTTCCTTGCTCCCGCCCAACTACACTGCCTGCCTCATGGCAGCAGCACCTAGCTGCGGTGCAGCTCTGTCTTTCTCCCGCTCTGAAACTCCCTCGGACGTTGTTTGTTGTCTCCTTCAGCGAGGGGAGAGGAGGGGAGGGGAGGGGAGAGAACAAAATCAACTGCGAGCGCGCAGTCGCTTACCGAGGCCCCGGCTGCTCGCCATCATCTCACCGCTCGAGCATTTCGCACGGCATAAATGCGCCGGGCCCCATCTCTCGCAGCTCTCGGACGCAGCGCAGCGCAATGTCCAAATACTGGTCTGATCATCACACCACGGCGCCCGCCTACATTACCACTCTCACTTACTCTCCGATCATTTCGTGTCACCGAACAAATAGGCATCCAGACAAAAAGCCTACTCTCCATCTCCGACCCGCATTGCTGCGAACTCGCGCCCCGCCTTGCTTTGCTTTGCCAGCACGAGCTCCAGCAGACCGCAACCGAAAGCTCAGAATCTGCTGCCGTCGCTTCGCTCTGCTCTGCGCTGCGAGGCGCAGCTCCCCCAAAAGTGTAAAGAGAGCTCCGCAGGTGCGACCGACGGAGCGTCGCAAGGAGGGCAATGGAGTCGCTCCGGTCGGGCGGGCGGGCGGGCGGGCCCGGGCAGCTCCGCAAGCGACGGACGGAGATTAGGGAGCGATGTTGTGACGACAGAACGCTGCCTCCCAGAAAAAGAAAGGCGAGCCCTCTCCTCTTTCCGACAGCATGCATATCCATGGGACCATAGGCCATGGCCCTTGCCTCCCAGACCCCCACCTCCTCCTCCTCCCGCGGACGGCGGGTCCCCCATGTCATATGGGCCCCGATCTCGTGTTCGCAGATCCACATACATACCTATATACCTACATACATACCCATCGCCCCACCTCGTATCTCTGTACCCTGGCCTGTACATGCACGCTGTACGCCTGCAGGCTCTGCAGTCTACCGGTTACCGGTCTGATTACGGTACCATGACATTATACCCTCCAACGGTACACTGCTCGGTACGTTCGACGTGAGTTCTCTCTCTCCCCTCTACCTTTCGTCCGAGTCTTACGCTCGCGACGCTGGACTGCATCGAGGCCCGGGCATGATCGACGATCTGCAGCTGTTTTCCTCGAGGACGCAGCTAATCCGACGGTGACACGCCTTCCCCTGCCAAAGACTTCGGTCCCTTGCAGTACCGGAGCAGTCGTCGTCCCTCACGTTGAATCTGCGGAATCTTCCCTTCCATTCCGTCCCCGGAGGCCAGATGGCATCCGACGGCCCCGTCGCCATCACCGAACGTTACTTGCTCCTCAACGCTCGCGATCTCTTCGTCTCCGCAGATCTAATTAATCATCTCTAGCCCTCGGGGTGTGGGATAGGGTTCGACCTGGTTCGACCGCGTCTACTAGGTCCGGTTTTCAACCGCGTAAGGACATGCCATGCCGCCGAGGACCTTGTTGAAGAAGTCCGGACTCGGAAGCTCGAGCTTTCTCAATATGATTCGAACCGAGGATCTTCAATTTCTCGTCTAGATGTGGACATCATTGATGGGGGGCGCGGGGCGGGTCTGTTGTGCTCGAGGGATGAAGCTCACATGAGTAATGGTTTTCTTCCACTCCACCTCGACTTGTATGGTTCCACGAACCACAATCTCGGTGACCGAAGATGCAAATGGCAATGGATGCGAAGATGCGAAAAAAAACCCGCACAGAAACCTGTGCGGGTTTTTTAAACTCGAAGGGCTTGCTCATAAGTTTGGCTAGGTGAAAAGTGGTATGCGCTCAGCTACCACAGCTTCCCAGTTCGTTTCTGGAATCCGCAGATTCTGACCGAACGTTTCCTCGAACGGAAGGTTGCGAGGGTCCACCGCAACAATCATTTTGTTTCGAATATATGCTTCATCGTTTGGTAGCTCAACATACTTTTCTTTCCTCCAGATTCAAGAAATGAGTTCCTCATTATTTCCCTCCTTCGAAGTATGGAGTCCTAGCACATCCCAGTTCAACATTCCATGGGAGGGATGAAAGGTCCACCAGTTTACGCGCATCCAAATGCGATATGACTCCATCATTCGATTAGTAGAGGCTCGAAAGGAGGGTGACTTTGAATCGCGTAATCTTTCCTTCCTACATCGACTTTTCAGATCTTTTTGAATCTAGGGCATAACAGAAATCGACCAGAGCGGGAACCAAGCTGTGATTGGAGCAGGCAAGGGTCCACCCTTCAATCATCAGAACTCGAACGAACATACATGCATAATAAAAACGCTGCCATAGTCACAAGCTGACGATTGAGTGTAAGCAAAATTGGAAGATGGAAGTGCAATCATTCTCATGCGCGCTTTTTGAGCACCTCGGTCAGGAACATTTGCCCAAGGAATCCCCTAAAGCGGAACTCGCCAACTGGACAGCATTCCTCCCCGATCCTTGCTCACAAGGTCCTAAACTAGCAAATGGACAAAACCACAGTCGGCGTTAATGGAAGACAGGATGTCTGTATGAATCTCTTGTGGCTTTCCGGCATTGGCCACCGTGGCCTGAGGGGCATGTGGACAAAACGGCTGCCGGTCTATCTTCTACCTAGAACACACCAAAATTGATTGCAACATCTTTGCTTTACTAACGTAAGCCTCGACGAGCATCTGGACAAACCCGCAGCAAAATCACCGAGACACCCAAACTGTTGAGTGATGACTGTGGCCTCAGCTGTGACTCTGATTCACTGGAACATCTAGAACTGAACGAGAGGCACGGCAAAGTTGTGATCACCTCGAGTTTATAACCACAAAGCTCCACGGCCACATGTAATGAGCTGGTCTTCAATGGGGGCAGATTCTTTACTTTGTCTTTCTCCAACGGGAGTGACAATAAGAGTTCGACGCTGGACATCGACGAATTTAATTCCATAAACAAAAATCTGCTTCTTCCTTCCCCCTTCTATTGCTCGTTCACTTTTCCCATCGTACCTCTTCTCTCTACTGGCCGCAAGAAGTAAAGATTCATACTATGATTAGCTGAGATTGTATAAAGGGAATTGGAAGAAAATAAATGTATATTCAAAGAACCTCACTGTGAGATTATTGCCTATTTAATCCTTTTCCCGACGATGAGATTGAACCCGTTGACCTCTTACTTGTCATTCATCTTCCCCATGGGGCTGGTATTCTTGGAACAACTTCGCCTCTTAGTTTTTGCCTGTTGTAACCACCACTCGCAGGTGACTGACATGACATGTCTGCAAGAAATAAACTGAATGAGTGGACATGATTTTCTTCAGAGAACTATACATGACAATGACGATAGTCGAGAGAGTACAATTGGACATAAGCATATGAATTGTTGACTTCATTCGTTCCTGCACATTTAGGTTCGCGGTACTTTAAGGTATAAAGGCTGAGTGCATGTTGGATGTCGAATGTAGTTTACATGATGAAAGTCAGGATGGAAACAATATTCTAACTAACAGCATTCTTATCCTTCATAAAATCGAAAAGAACATCAAAACATTCAAGAGGCAATAATATACCTCGCTGAAGTGATACATGACCGTCTTAAAAAACATATGAAACGCAAGGGTTCACTAGATTTGATTGAGAAGATAGAGTCAACCTTTAAGATGACGCCCTTAATTTGTTTGTTATTAGAGTGTTGGAATTTTATGGAATATTAGACGCCAATTTTGACATGTTTGTGAATGTACAGTCCATTTGATAGTACATTAAGCACGTTGTATAACATATCGTACGTTAGATGTCTTTACTGATCTAGAGTACCACTAGCTAGGGCTACCTTAAGAAAACAATCACTTGGGATGATCCGTCTAATAATAGTTTTCTCATATTAGTTTAATTGGCCTACATACCTTGCATATCTTATAATATGACGCTGCAATATGACACATTTTTTATTGTGATGTTACGAAGAACTAGCTCCATCAATACCCGCTGAAAATCATCATCATGTGGTTTGATTATTAGTGAAAATTATTGTTCCGATTGCAAAAAACTCTTTTTTGAAAAATAATAAATAGGATACACATCATTTTTTTCAAGTATTGGTATCCAAACCTAAAATCATACATTTGGCACTTTTATGGAACTTATGCATTTTTCAAAATGTTGTAATCATTTGTATGTTATTGATAGATAATTTCTTGTTGTATTCCACCATAAAGTGAAAGCCATATTTTACGTCACATTCAATGTACTTTGAATAATATATTTTCATACATTAGTTGTGCAGCTTGTGACACAAAGAGCCCGATTGAGTTGTGTAATACCTTGGTCATATATAGAAGTTTGAAATCAAGAAATACCTTGCCGTCAACCTCGATATATCTCCCCAAATAATATCTTCCACGTCCAGAATCTCAAAGGTGTTGCAGTTGCCGATTGCCTCCAGCACTCGAAGGAAAAATACCTTGGTCATATATAGAAGTTTGAAATCAAGAAATAATGGGAGTAACTAAAGACTCGAGTATACATACATGACGATACCAAGACATTATGACATCATTTGTTCTAATGTTTGGGTCGAGCTACAGACATTGGTAGAGATTCTTGATTCCCTGATTCAAGCAGTAGCCCAAAGAACATATAACCTTTCAGAAGCAATGTAATGATTATAACAGTTCAAGACTCAGATCCAGTATATTCGACATACTACATCATCAAACTCACGGGGTGAAGACCGAAGCAACTCAAGGGTGACATTGAAAACACACTAGATTAAGGGAAGCATGAAGACGGAGAAGAAAACCGAGAGCTGTCTTGCATGAACTGCAACTAAATGGTAAGTGAGTGGAAGACAAAGAATGCTCAAGTGGAAGAACACGAAGAGTAAAGATACGGTGGAATATGGTAGACTCGGTTGCTTCATCAGGGGATGCCAAGGTGCATAGGTTGCTGCAGTGGACACGAAAGGGTCTCATGACAGCTTCAAGCCCATAATGCTAAGGAGCATACGAACATAATAGCAAGTTGAAGGCAACATCCAAGAGAGATCTGAGAGAGCTCCAAGTACAACAGGACTTTCTATTTGTAAATTAAAATGATACTATATATTAGATTTTGAAAGCATGTGATCAATTTCCTGTAACCGTGTAGTAGATTATGTATAACTTTAGGTTATGTGTTATTTTAGGTCTGATTGATTGATTGACGAGATTACTCGAATTATTCATATTTAACAATTTTATTCATCTTGATATGCATAAGACACATGACAAAGATATGATTGCAATTAGTGAAACGATGACCATCATGGTATCGTGATTTCATACTAACACACTTGGCTTGTGCAATGTGTATGAAAATGTCTTTTGTCAAATACTTCATCCCCTACTTGAAATTCCAATTGTACATCTCGACATTTCAATTTCATACCTCTTCAAAGTTTTCGAGTATGCATCACAAACATCACTTGTGTATTTCACTTTCCGGTGAGACGAGTGTACCAAGAACAGATCCTTTTGTACCCAAAATGACGTGACAACCTATATCCTCACATGAAACATTTACAATGCCTTAGGTTCATTGTTAATAGATAGCCATTAACGGAAGAAAGGAGGAAGGCGTTATCAGACATCTCTAGGCAGCGAGACATTAATGTGAATGTATCACAACAAAGTTATGGAGCTTAACTGGGCGAAAGTGTCAATAGCACTTAAAGATTATCGGAGGAAAAAGCACACCCGGTGGGACTCGAACCCACAATCCCCTGATTAGAAGTCAGATGCCTTATCCATTAGGCCACGGGTGCCAGATGTTCCATTGCGTTCAAATTTAATATTACTATAATCAGTCTGATAAAATTGACTTCGACGTT